GGTAACCCTTTTCTGTTCCTTGTTAAGTTGGAGTGCGTGAGATGCGTAGCAAACCAGACGCAATGTTATAATCCTCTGCGTGCATTTCATTATTTCAAAATAGTGGCATCCCACCCTCGAAATGAAAACACCTGTTATTATATACGAAACTGCAACGTCAGCCCAGGATGAAAGGATAACATTCGTTATTTATTCTTTTCTCGGGACCAGCAATTCTAATCTAGAAAAGCACATCGAAAAGATTAACAAAACAAACACTGGAAAATACACACAGCAACATAAGGAAATTGATTTTTAAAAAGCAAGGATGAGTGGATGGATTTATGGATAAGTGGATAAATGGATGGTTGAAAGGGAATGGGGAGTTCGGTAGAACGAATGCAAGGATGGATTGAAATTGAAGGATGAACGAGTTTTAGTAGTTTTATGTGAGAAGGAATGAAAAAATTAATGGCTTACTGAATAAATGGATTCAGAAATCATTGCTTCATTTATACAATACATGTATGAAATGAATAGATTGGAGAATAACTGAATGGATGGACAGATGGGTAGATGGAAAGAGGGACGGATGGATGGATGGATGGAGAGACCGTTGGATGGTTGGATGGATAGATACATGGGTAGATGGATAAATGAATAGATGGAGAGATGGGCTGATTTGTTGATAGATGGAAGTATAACCAGATTCATAGATGATTAGAAGGACGGATGTGTGCCTTGTAGGACAGATGGATGGATGGATGGATGGATGGATGGATGGATGGATGGATGGATGGATGGATGGATGGATGGATAGATGGATGGGTGGAATCAATAATCTAAGGCACCGTGAGGGGATGCATTTGTTGTGAGAGCCTCCTTTCATTAATTTTACTTTGATTATTGTAGGAGTCTTCGTTTGCTAATTTTCCTTTGCATTTCAGCTTGTGGACGTAAGGGTGAACGAGTGTGTTGCCGAGGATGAGCGTAAGTTCGAACTGTGGTTCACCGGGGATTCAGCCGTCGAGAAACTAACATTGCAGGCCCGGAGCGTTTATGCCAAACAAGCCTGGGTCAAAGATATAAGGGAAAGCTTGATCAAATTAGGTGAGTGAACTTGCTTGGCGAGAATATTGGTACGCTACTCTTTGCGAATGCTTCACGGCATTTCTTTCTCTGTTTACATAAAGCACTTTTCGGGTTGTTTTTTTTTAACAGATTCATTTTTTGTGCAAACTGTCCCTGTGTGTTTGTGTGATTGTGTGTGTGTTGTTTTTTTTTTGTTTCTTATGTTAGTGTTGGTTAATGGGTTCGCTCGCATTTTGTACTCAAATTTGTTTTCTCTGTATGTTTTTATTTCTCTCTGTCTTCCGGCCTCATTTTCTTTTCTCCACCCGTCCCCCTCTCTCTCTTTCTATCTCTCCCTATCTATCTCTTTCTCCTTTTGCTTTGTTCCTTCTCTGTTTTTTTCCTGAGTGTGCGTCTATGTGTCTGTGTGTATATTTTGTATGTATAATATGTCTATCTATCAGTCTGTCAGTCAGTATGTCTGTGTACTTAATATCTATACAAATGTGTTAACATCTGTGTGTATTTTTCTGTCTTCCACCACTTCAACGTTTTTTCTCTCAGTCTCATACCTCCATGTTTTGTAATATATTATATCTTTTGTTAATTTTTTTATCATCACATTTTTACAAATTTATCTGTCTGTCTGTCTGTCTGTCTGTCTGTGTCTGTCTGTCTGTCTGTCTGTCTGTCTGTCT